GTAAAATAAGGCAGTTGACTGCCATGCTGGTAAAGACATGGTAATGTCTATCAGTTTTCCTGAATTTGAATTCTTCCTGGGAAATCTGAAAATTGCCTTATTCATGCTACTTTGAAATCTGTTCAAAAGTAATAGGCACACTGACACTTTGAAGATATCCTATGACCCAATTTTTGGAACTGCCAGTAAAATGTCAAGTGCCTTGCTTCCCTCAGAGACACAGAAATTAGTATTTGAAGACTAAAAATCTACTCATTGGCATTTTAGATCAGGCTTTTGGTCCATGTAGTTCAAGATCATATTTCTGATGATAAATGTTGGTTGTAGCCTGAGAACAGGTTCTAAACGATATGATTTCATAATAAGTATAAAATGCTGAGTTTTTATCAACAATGCTTTGGAGATTTATTAGTGATTTTATCTAAAAATTTTATGACCTAATTTGTCTTACCAGACTTTACCAGCTTTTGGTGACTTCTTGCTTTCCTCCTGTCTGTAAAACTGGAACTTTCTAACTTCAAGAAGTTTCCTGAATTTACTCCACCCCCTCCCCCATCCCTCACAAGTCTAAGATTCATAGATGCATCAAAAGTTCAAAGTTTGTTTTGTGTTCTATCCATACCTTACATATTAGAGTAATTTTTTTTTTTTTTTTTTTTGAGACAGAGTCTTTTTTGTGTGTGTCCCCACCACCTTTATTTGTACAGTGAGTGCCGTGGCGTCAGCCTAGCTCACAGCAACCTCAAACTCCTGGGCTCAAGCAATCCTCCTGCCTCAGCCTCCCGAGTAGCTGGGACTACAGGCACGAGCCACCATGCCCGGCTGATTTTTACATTATATATATTAGTTGGCCAATTAATTTCTTTCTATTTTTATGGTAGAGACGGGGTCTCGCTCAGGCTGGTTTTGAACTCCTGACCTTGAGCAATCCGCCTGCCTCGGCCTCCCAGAGTGCTAGGATTACAGGCGTGAGCCACCGCGCCCGGCCTTATATTAGAGTAATTTTAATCAAATTCTCTCATTTTTACTTTGGAGTCATAATCACCGTTAGTGTCTTTTCATATGCAGCCCCATACTCTTTAATTCTTTGAAGATCCTTATATTACTCCTCCTGAGCCACATTGCATTTATGCTGCTGGCATGCTATGTCTGATATGCGTGTTGTGGGGGCTTTCTCCTAGTCAGTAGCTTGCCCCTCTTATTTTCTTAATCTTGATCAATTCCAATTTGTTAAATTTTTACTTTTTGTTCATTCATTCTTATATACCTTATCTAAGAAAATTTTGGCTAATTGAAGGTTGCAAATATTTTTCAAATATGTATTTTCTTAGAAATGTTATCTTTTTAATTTTTATATATAAGTTTGTGAGCCATTTTAAATTAATTTTGGGTATGTTGTGATGTGAGTCAAGAGTTTTTTTTCCATACATCTATACAATTGGTCCAGCATTATTTGCTGAATACATGTAAGGTATCTGCAATAGAATATTGTCTTTACAAAACTTTTCAAAGTTTCTTAGATGCTTAGATTCTCAGACAACATTGCTTTATGTTTAATTTTGTGCTGTAATCTACAAACAATTTCATGCTTATTATGTTATTAGAGCCTTCTAATAATACTGTGAGTTAAGTATTCTCAGTTTATAGGTGAGGAAATTGAGGGGGTTAGAGAGCTTACTGAAGCTATTACACACACACACACATACACACACACACAGGGAAGAGAAAATCCTCAAACCTAGATCATCACACTTTATTTCAGTACTTGTTGCTTTTCATTTTCAGAAGAAATACGCTTTAATGGCAAAGGAGACTCAAGATATGTCCTCAAAAGACCTTGAGACATAGCCTGAAATAACCACTGATTTTTCATAAAATCCCCAACAAAATACTGGCAAATTCAACAACACATCAAAAAGATAATACAGCATGATCAAAGGGTTTTTATACCAGGGATGCAAGTATGGTTTTACATTTACAAGTCAACAAATGTGATTCATCATATAGACAGAATTAGAAACAAAAACCATATGATCATCTCAATAGATACAGAAAAAGCATTTGATAAAATCTAGCACCACTTCATGATAAAAACTCTAAACAAGCTATTCGTAAAAGGAACATACATCAAAATAATAAAAACCATATGTGACATATCCACAGCCAACATCATACTGAATGGGAAAAAACTAAAAGTGTTCCCTCTAAGAACTGGAATGAGAAAGCAATGCCCACTTTCACTACTCTTGTTCAACATAGTACTGAAAATCCTAGCAAAAAGAATCAGGCAAGACAAAAATAAAGGACATCCAAATTGGAAAAGATTGTTTGTTGATGATATGATCTTATATTTAGAAAACCCTATAGACTCCATGAAAAAACTCCTAGATTTAACAAATGTATTCAGTAACATTTCAGGATACAAAATCAATATACAAAAATCAGTAGCATTTGTATACATCAATAATAAACAAGCTGAAAATCAAATCAAGAAGGCAGTTACATTTACTATAACTATGAAACAAATAAAATACCTAGGAATATATTTAACCAAGGAGGCAAAAGACCTCTACAAGGAACACTACTAAATACTGATAAAAGAAACTATACATGATGCAAACAAAGGTAAAACCATTTATGCTCATGGATTGGAAGAATTAATATTGTTCAAATGACCATACTGCCCAAAGCAATATACATATTCAATGTAATTCCTATCAAAATGCCAATATCAATTTTCCAAAAGTAGAAAAAAAAATAAATCCCAAAATTTATATAAAACTAAAAAGGAGCCCAAATAGTCAAAGCAATCCTGAATAACAACAACAACAAAAGCTAAAGGCATCTTATTATCTGACTTCTAATTACACTACAAGATTGTAACACCAAAACTGCATGGCACTGATATAAAAGTAGACACATAGGTCAATGGAATGGAATAGAGACCCAGAAATAAAGCCACACATCTATAGCTAAATCATCTTTGACTAATTTAACGAGAACATACACTGGAGAAAGGATACCCTTTTCAATAAATGGTCTCAGAAAAATTGGATCACCATATGCAGAAGGACATCTTTCTCTCACCATACACAAAAAAATCAACTCAAGATGGATTAAAGACTTAAATTAAGATCTGTAATTATAAAAATATTAGAAGAAAACTTAGGAAAAACTCTTCTGGACATTGGTCTAGGCAAAGAATTCACAATTAACACCTCAAAATCCATGTGACGAGAACAAAAATAGATAAATGGGACTTAATTAAACTAAAAAGTCTCTGCTCAGAAAAAAATAATCAACACAGTGAACAGACAATCTGTAGAATGGAGAAAATATTTGCAAACTATGCATATGACAGGAGACTGATATCCAGAATTTATAAGGAACTCAAACAACTCAACAATAACAAAGAAAAACAACCTCATTAAAAAGTGGGCAAAGACATAAATAGATATTTTTCAAAAGAAGACATACAAGTGACCAACAAGCATATGAAAAAATGCTCAACATCACTAATCATCAGAGAAAAGCAAATTAAAACCACAATGAGATATCATCTTACACAAGTCAGAATGACTATTACTAAAACGACAAAAATAACAGATGTTGGCAATAATGCAGAAAAAAAGTACTTATGCACCACTGGTGGGAATGTAAATTGGTGCAACCTCTATGTAAAACAGAATGGAGATTTCTCAAAAAACTAAAAATAGAACTACCATTCAATTCAGCAATTCCATTTATTGGGCATCTACCCAAAGGAAAATAAATTGTTATACCAAAAAGATACCTACATTCTTACATTTATCATAGCACTATTCATAATAGCAAAGATATGAAATCAACCTAAGTGTCTATCAATGAATGCTTGGATAAAGAAAATTTTATATATATATATATATATCAGAATACTACCAAGCCATAGAAGAGAATGAAGTCATGTCCTTTGCAGCAACTTGGATGGAACTAGAGGCTATTATCTCAAATGAAATAACTCAGAAACAGAAAGTAAAAATCTCATGTTTTCTCCTATAAGAGGGAGTTAAATAACAGGTGCACTTGGACATAGAGTGTGGAATGATAGATATTAGAGACTTGAAAGGCTGGAGGGGAGAGAGAGGTGGATGATGAGAAATTACTTAATGGGTATAATGTACATCATTCAGGTGATGGATACACTATACACCCAGACTTCACCACTAAGCAATATATCCATATAAAAAAATTTAACTTGTACCCCTTAAATTTAGACAAATAATAAAAAAGAGATTCATGTTTTATCTTTAGAAAACATTTTTCTTCCTCTACATGATATTTGCAGAATTGACTTTATACCAAAATAAAGTTTTACATTGTATATCATCAGCTAAAATAGCTGTTCCAGATAAATATAACAGGTTTCTCTATGGTATTACTGCCAGCTCCACCTTTGCCCACATCAAGCTCCTCCCCCAGGAATGTCACTGTAACCCACTTTGAGACACTCTCCTTTCTATTCTTATCTGCAGGCTCCTTAGTATTTCTTAATGGTCTTAGCAACCTTCCTTTGTTAAATCAGAAGAAATTTTGGTACCACATACCAAGGTAAATGGTACCACATACCAAGGTAAATATGATTCTGGAGACAAGAGCCCATCATTCAATCAAAATTCTAGAAATAAAAAGTTATTACTGGTTTTTTTTTTTATCTTGCTATATTATTTAATCAAATCTGATATATGAAGTGACATTCTGAAAGAATGAGAGTGATTACAGACTATGAAGTTGGGGACCATTTTCTTGGGTTGCAAAGCTAGGACATATAGCTTCCCAAATTATGTTCAGATGCAAAAATATAATTTTTCCCTGATAATATATAATGCTTGCTTTAGAAGATATAATAGAAGAGGTATCTGTTAAAGATTTCTCTTGAGAAAATGATAGTCAGGTTTTGTTTTGTTTAATGTCTATACAAGTTTGCTTTGTCAGTTGATAACATTCTTTTCTTTTTGTTTCAGGAGCAGGAGAATCTGGAAAAAGTACTATCGTTAAACAAATGAAGTAGGTACACAATTATTTCAAATGCTTAATATTGGATACCAGTTCATGTATTTGACCATTCATAAAATAAATGCTTTTGGAAATGTCGATTGATAGTGTTTTCTAAATCATAGGTCCTGGCAGAGTGGTCACAGTTCCTGTACAAATATCCTTCCATTCTATAGCAGAAAACATAATATATGAGTAATTTTGTAATTACCATTTTTAAAACATTTTACCTATCAACAAGACAAATTTATAAACATTTCAAAATATGTCAATCAATGATCCATTGGAATTTTGGGAGAAATATTTTTAACTTCATTGGCATTTTGCCTACCTGGGGATAAAATGCCTATCTAAAATCATTACTATCATGAAATTTTATATATTTTTGCATTTATTTCTCTACTTTTTTCTCTTTATAATGAAACAACTAGACCTGAATTCCTTAATAAAGAAATAATGAACACAAAAATGCTGTAATTCAAGAATGTAATGTCTAAATGATAAAACTGTGATTGATAAGTGGAGGTGGACAGGTGAAACCTTATGGCTCTGTCTCTGCTATAGAATTTTGAAGAATAATTGTGGCTACAGAACAAGAAGAATCATTTTGAGCCTATTTGTTAATTATGTGTTAAAGGACCTTGTTCTTTGGGACATACTATTTGAGGGAGTGATTCTAGTCAATGGTGAAATTGGTTTTACTCTAAACTGCTGTTTTTTTCCTTCCATGTGATAATATCATGTAAGTTCCTTCTGCAACTAAATATTTTAACCTCACTTATTTGCAACCAAATATTTGACCTATTGTCTTGTCTCTTAAGAACAGAGACTCTTTATCCTGTTCCCTGGTCACACTACTTTTGAGTTCTCAAGTCCATCCTTGCACCTAAGTCATCTGTCATTTATTTATAACGTTACCACAGTGTCCACCTGATCTTTTCTTTGGTTATAAGCATGCTTAAACCTGTCTTACTTTTTTTAAAATCTCTTCCCATTCTCTATCAGCTTAAATAAAGTAAAAAAAAAAAAAATGACAAGGTTTTTGGCTATATAAAACTGAAAATTTTAAATATAGTAAACCATAAATAAAATTAAACCCAAAATAGAAAACTAGAAAAAAGTTATAATAAATATAATAAATAAATGACTATTTTAATATATAAAGACTTATAGTTTGTTAAGTAAAACAATAAGCTGCCCAATATATAAAAATGGGGAAAGACTATTTACAGTTCACAAATCACAAAATTTTAATAGATAGATAAATGATATATTTTACTTTAATGTCATTACTTATAAAGTTAGAAAATTAAATCAATAATGAGTTATTTATCCTCTTGGTAACTTAACAAATAATAATTTTAAAATATTATGCAATAAGAATGAGGTTTTAAGAAATGAATATTTCTTAATACTTAAAGTAAAATTATATCACTTACTAATTACTATATTACATCCTAATTACTAGTATATAAAATTACATATTACAGAAAATTTATAGAAATAATTTTTCAATGTACATAGTACCTTGGGAAAATTATAATTATTGATCTTCTAAATCTTCTATATTTCTGAGAATTCTCAATAATAAAATAATGTAAAATATGCAAGTATGAAAAATAAAATAATTCACATATAGAAAATATAAAAATTTATGTACAGATTCATATATTTAAAATAATGAAATATGGGATAGAAAAAAGTACCATAAATTAAAACTAAACAGAAGCAAATAGGTTGCAAAATTATGTTTAATTCAGTTTCAACATTATGCAGCCATTATAAATCATATCTATATGAGAAAGTTTTATTGAGAAAATACTGTATTTGCTGAAAAACCAGGATACCAAATTACATGAACATCTTTATCTCAACTGTGACAAAATAGATCATTTGAAAAAATGGAAGAACACATACCAGTATTCAAAGAAATTTGCTTTGAATATCAAGGTTTAAAGTTCAAAGCACCTTTGCTGTGAATATTGCTAAGCTTTTCACATTTTCTACAATGGGTGCATATTATAATACTTTTATTATTTAAAAAGAATAAGTCTCCTTGTTCTGCCTTATTCCTCCTTCCTTTTGTCAGTAGAATTTCTATAAAAAATAATTAACTCTAGCTCTCTTTACTTTCCACTTTCCCTTTACTCTTCTCAGCCATCTCCATCACACTTTTGCCTCTGGCATGTCACAGACACTGCCCTCATGAAGACCACTTATGATCTCCTAATAGCCGTTTTTTATGAAGTCTTCTTAAGTCCTTTACTTAATTCCACATGATACCACTTTTCTCTCTTAAAACTTTTCCTTGGCTTCTAGAACTCTCTTTTCCAGTTATTTCCCTACTCTGTCTCCTTTATTTTTCAGTCCTTTGTCTACATCCTGAATGTTGTGTCCCCATGCACTAGATCCTCTTGCTTACTCTGCACCTTCATCAAATGAAAATTGCTAAAGGACAATGGTTTCCACTAGCATCTTCAAGCTGACTGTCACAGAATATTTCTGTCAAACTCAATTTGTCTAAACAAAGAAGGCAAATACATGTACCTCTATATTCTACGGCTAGGTCCAAATCGGAATAAACAACATAAAATTTATCTTCCACCTGGCCTTTATTTACCTAAAATTAAGCACAGCAACACCGGCCACCAAAGCAATAAATCTCAGTGTAGTTATGCTGAGCCATCATGCTCTCTCCAAGTCATACCACATCTACTCAATTTGACTCCAAACACATCATTGCCATAGCCTTAGCCTAAAACCTCATCATTTCTGGCCTAGATTAATTCAGTATCTTCCTCAGTAGTTTCTATGTCTTTACTCTTCCTTCCATTGCATTATCCCCACTACCACCAACTGATCCCTCCAATGGCATATAACACACTTCAGAATCTAGCCTTTGCCTGTCTCTTCATCTTCCTGTCTAATTATTTCTCCCCTCCTACTTTCTGCTTCAGCAATGCTGAACTTTTATAAGTCTGTGGACAAGCATATTATGGAAGGTTGTAAAGCTTAGTGGCTAAGATCATAAACTGTCAAATCAGATTGTGTTTGTTGCCCAATTCTACCATACACTAAGTTGAGGGTAGTTGTGTAATTTATCTATGCCTACATTTCTTATGTATAAAACGTAGACCATAATTTTACCTACTTTAGAAGACTTTGTAAGAAATAAGAAGACATACAAAGCACTTACAACAGTGCTTGGTACATACTGAACACCTGATAATTGTAAGCATCTATTTGTTCATACTGATCCTTCTGCCTAGAATGTTCTCCTTCCTTTTGACCATGTAGGAATAAGTAACCTTGAAAAACCAGTTCATCATCACTGCTCCTGAGAAGTCTTCCCTGATAACCTAACCACACTCCATAGAGTCTACACTTTTTCTTTTCTAGTGCATCTTACCAACATGCAAATGTTGTTGCTATACATTATCACTCTTCAAAAATTTGTTTATATGTTCTTCTTACTGTAACCCAGTATTCTTTGGTAGAACTTTGTGTGATGCTAGGAAACATTTCTATCTGTGCTTTCAAATATGGTAGCTACTGTCCACATGTGGCTTTAATAGCCGCTTTGAAATGTCACCAGTATGATTGAGACATTAGATTTTTAATTTTACTTAATTTTAATCAATTGGCTAGTGGCTACTGCATTGTAGAGTGAGGCTCTAGTCTATATGTTTTTGAGAAGAAGGGACTTGTATAATCTATTTATTCTCTTTAGCCCATAACACAGTATGTTACAGAAAATGCCCAGTGAATGCTTATTAATCTAAACAGACCTAGAAACCAACTTGTAGCTGAAGAGCACTATCTCACAGAAATTTATTCATGCAGCTCCTAGAAAAACCATGTTGTTTAATGTCTCACTTCAACTGGACTTTTTAAAGTTTGCTTTTATCATTTTGCTTTGTCATAAATGTTTCCTCATCTTCTGATAAAAGGATGTCAGAAAAAAACCTAAGTATCCCAAGTTTACTCATAATAACCATTTTAATTTAATAATTAAAATGTTTTTTCAATTCCAATTTTTGACAGAGAACTAGTATCTCTTTAATCAACTTATCCCTGATGTATCCATGAAAACATTTTACTGTATTTTTTCTATGGCTTCTAATTGTCTATTTTTTACTCATTTAAGTTATTTAATTATTTAATGCAACAAAACAAACATGGCCATGTTTAAAGTAGAAATTCATCAAATTATAGCAATAAATATTTTAAAAATAATAAATATAGTCTCTGCCTTTACCCCTTTCAGTTCAGAATACTTGTATTTGAAGGTTCTATTATTGTCAAAGATATTAAAGAGGGCTTTGTGCTCTCCCCTCCCATACTAACCTCTTTATGTGTATGGACACAACATAAATCTTTAGTAAGATGACATACAAAAAGATGTCTAATGAGCACAAGGTGCTTCAAAAATAATAATTAAAAAAAAATAGGCTGGGTACAGTGGCTCATGCCTGTGATCCCAGCACTTTGGAAGGCTGAGGCAGGAGGATTACTTGAGCCCAGTAGTTCCAAACCAGTCTGGGCAACATAGCGAAACACCATCTCTAAAAAAAAATTTTTTTTAATTAGCTGAGCCTGGTAGCATCCGCCTGTAGTCCTAGCTACTCAAGAGGCTGAAACAAGACAATCACCTGAGCCCATGAGTTTGAGGCTGTAGTGACTGTGATTGTGCCACTGCAATCCAGCTTGGACAACAGAGTGAGATCCTATCTCAAAAAATAAAAATAAAAAAAGGAAGGAACAAGAACATAGCATGCAGTAAAGATGCAAAAATGTGTAATTAGTACATGCAACTATTTAGTACACCCAAATATTTTGGCGTTTAATAGGTAAATCTATTTTAAGCTATTATTCCTAAAGTACTAGTAAAACCTTGACTTCTGACTGAATGAGTGGAAGGAAGAGTTGAGGTCAGCCAAGTAAATATCTCAGCATTTCAACTTTTGAGATCTGTTCGTGAGAGTGGCACGAACACAGATGGAAAAGTGACAAGGGATTTAACAGTGTGCAATTACCTGTATTAAAAAAAGATGCCTTTGTTAATGCTGTAAATAGAAAGCAGGCACTCCTATTTTCCAGTGTGTCTTAAATGATAGGAAAGACATGAATGTTCTACTAAATGACTTCACTTCCTCCAGACATCAGGTTGTAAACACAACACCAAGTTTCAGAACTCTGTATCTTTGTCCTGGATATCTGGCAATTTTTCTCTTGAAAAGGAGCAGCTTTCTAAGTAAACACTTATGACTTATTCTTTGTAAAAAGTGTTTTGTTTAGAACAAACCCTAATTTCTCTTCATATTTATCATGGGTAGTCCAGAAAGAAAATATTCTGTTAATTTACAATGATAATAAAAATCCAAAGACATAAAATTATGCAGATTTAGCATGTACATATTGTCAAAATTTTTTGACCTTTTTTAATGAATATATACTCCCATTTTATTCAAGCAATGTATTGTTGATATATTTTAGTGTTACAATCAATTATTCAGCTCACAAAAGCTTTTCATCTTTTCATTATAGGATCATCCATAAAAATGGTTACAGTGAGCAAGAATGCATTGAATTCAAGGCAGTAGTTTACAGCAATACCTTGCAGTCCATCCTAGCTATTGTGAAAGCCATGACTACCCTTGGAATCGATTATGTAAATCCAGGAAGTGCAGTAAGTATGCAAATAATGACAGTTGTAGATTCTACAACAGAGTTTGAGACATAAAATGGTAGGACTTAATAAATTTGTAGTACTAATCTATACCAAAGTTTAAAAATCTAAAATATGACTTTTATATTTCATACTACTAAACTGAGTATTTACTCAGTTTAGTATAAGATTTCTTATTTCCTTTGAAGTGAATTTTTCTTTTTCACTGTGTGCTATAATTTTATGCAACATTAACTGTTTTACTAAACATCAAACTTAATATCAAATAATATACTATAATAAAGAAAAATATTGCTTATGACTGCTAAATACAAAAGGGTTTATTGCATAAACCCAATCTGCAATATCTCTACATTATTTTTCAATTAATTATGAGTCATTTCATGGAGACTTTTAAAACACTTTTACTAATAACACTACAATTTATGTTTGATGAAGATTACAAAGACTATGTGGCAACAGGTAAATGCTTATTTTATAAGGTTAACATTTTAAAAGAGAATTCAAATTGTGTGGGTAAGCAAAATACTCGTATACTAAATACATTCAAGTAGTCAGGGTTTTGTTTATAAGGTAGCATCTAAATAATTTCATTTTCTCTATTTTATATTTTATAATATAATTATTTTACATTAAAATGCACTAGAAGTATACTTGTAAAGTTTATGTCCAAACATATAAAACTATTTTAGTTAGCAAATTAAACATATAGTGTTATTCAAAGAACAATAGTTGACTCCAAGCACAAAAAAAAGTAACTGAATACAATCCACAGGAAAAACTCACCTGTTTTCACATGTCCTGTCCAAGAGCAACTGGGCAGTTGGTTAGTGCCAGAGGATGTCAACTGAACTCTTCCCAATGTAATTCTTAGATACCTTGCCATAGGAACAATAAAAATAGAGAGGAATAATATAATAACGATAGAGAACAAAGGGACATTTGCACTCCCCACCCACCCAGCTTAGAGTTAGATCGTGTAAATGACCAATGGAAATCATTAGGATAAAAATGCTTTTTCCATGTTTTTCCATGCTGTTAATTTTAAAGGAAAGGGTAAATTCCCTCTCCACCCATCACTTTTCTTCAAAGAACAACAAAATGCTAAATATGCCTGTAGGTAGATAGTTTGTAAAGCAAAGTCAGGGGTTCTACTGATTCTCCCTCCGTTTCAAACTCTCCCCACAACTTGGCTCCAGTCTACTTCTCTGGCTCCAGTTTCCTTCTCATGTATAAAAGGGGAATTTGAATGAGCTGAACTCCAAAATCCTTTCATTCTTTATTGTTCTAAGACTTGGGCATCAAAAAGGTACTTCAGTTATCTCTCTGTCCCTGGCTTTTCCTGAGAACCTAGGACTTTAAACAGGTCCTTAAGAGACCACCTCTTATAACCCTCTTAATTTAAAGATGAGAAACATAAGACTCAATGAGGATTAGTTTGTTTATGTTAAGTAGCTAGAGTTTAGGGCAAAACTCACTTCTTTTCGCTCCCATTATAGTGTTTTTCCCTATGCAAAGATTGAATGATTAGAAATACTTATTTGATTGTTTCTCTTCTAGGCAATAATTGTTACTGAAGTAGGTGTACCTTCTGAATTCCTTTGAGAATAATTTAGTGATGTTCAAATTTGTACATGCAATATAATATTCTATGTATTTGTGTCAGAGAAGTTGGAAATCACAACCTTACCTATTGCTACTTATTTAAATATATCATGGGCTTCATACAGCCCAGTGTTTGCAAAACAGTGATGCCAGTCATCACTAAAGTCCTGAAATCTACTGGTAAGAGGGTAAGAGTATTAATGATCTGACATACAAGTGGAGTGAAAATAATAAACTCTACTCATTGCTGCCATTGTGCTTACTAAAAATAAAAATAAGTACAATATATTGAATGGTGTAACAGAGCAACTTAAGCTCCAGTAAGCAATTGTCATAACTTCTCAGGGGTACCTATGTTCTCAAATAACGGAACCTCATGGTTGCCAGGAACTTCATGGTTCATATCCTGATTTCAACTGATGTAAACTCTAGACATTTCAACCACATGCTTTAGTATTTGATTTTAGAATTAATGCACTCTCTATCTGGTTTAAACTGTTTATTCAACAGATTAACTGCTAAACACTACCTATGTATTGCTTTCAGAGCCCTGACTAGCTTCTAATATGTTTATTTATACAAGTATAATTATTTTTACATAACCATTTGCACATCATCACACAGATTGCCATTCAAAGGGTGAGAGTTCTTATAGAAAATTTATGTGAGGTTTATTAGTCACTAGTTCTGTAAGTTTGGGTAAGTTACTTAACGTAAATTGCAGTTTCTTCATTCAAAAACTGTTAGTGCTATCCTCATTGAATGATAATTATTAAAAGAGGAAGCAAAAATGTAAGTAATCCATTATAACACATACTATTGCAGATTGTAAATTTGCAGTAAATATTATTATTTTTCAATAGCATTTTGAATATAGGATCATCAAAGTTTACGTTTTGAAATCTACATAACCTACATCATTTGAAAAAAATTGTTTTTTTATTAAACTGTTATTTATATGGAAGATATTTGGTTGGATACCAGAATATACTGAGGTCTCAGATGGGAACAATATCTGCCATTAGGAGAGGAAAGCCTGACCTTGAACAAGTAATTGCAAAGCATCTGCTATTTCAAAAAGACAGCACAACTAAATGTGAAGCTAGATCCTTATTTGTGGAACTAAACTAATTAGTTTGGCTTGGGATATGTTGAGTTTGTAAATTCTATGGGATATCTACATATGTAAGCAATTGCAAATGTGATACGTTGGCCAGAGATCTAAATTTAGGTGTTATTGGCATAACTTTACACTCTGGTATATAATTTACACTAAGGAAGTGGACTGGATGAGAGAGGTCAAGTGCTTAGATTGATGTAGACCTACCATTTGATCCAGCAATCCCACTGCTGGGTATCTACCCAAAGGAAATGAGTCATGTACTAAAAAATACAACTGCATTCGAATGTTTATCACAGCACAGTTCACAATTGCAAAAATGTGTGCTTCAATTCATGAGTGGATTAAGAAAAACTATATACACACCACAGAGTACTACTCAGCCATAAAAAGGAATGAAACAATGTCATTTGCCACAACGTGGAGTGACCTAGAGACCACTATCCCAAGTGAAGTATCTCAAGAATAGACACTATATGTTCTCACTAATAAGTGACAGTTAAGAGATGGGTATACATGGGAACAAAGCTATATAAAGGACATGAGAAACCAAGAAGAGGGAAGGAGGGGAGGGTGGGTGTGGGATAAAAATTTACCTATAGGTACAACGAACACTATTCTGGTGATGGGCACACCAAAAGCCTTGACTTAACTTATTACACAAGATATCTATGTAACAAAAACACTTGTACCCCCTTAATTATTAATATTTTTAAATTTAAAAAGAGAGAGAGAAGGATCTTAAGGAGAATAGAGCCTAAGGAAGAGTGTTTAGAAATGCCAACATTTGCCAGTCATTTAAGAGGAAAAAAAAAAAAAAAGAAAAAACTTCAGAGGAGAGTATGATGGAACAATAAAAGGAAAATAGGAAGTATGTGGAATCACAGAATTAAAGAAAAGTGTTCCAAAGGGAGAGTATTCAGGTTGAAAGGTCTTGAGAGGTCCTGAAGAAAGAATGTTGATAAGAATCTACTGGGCTTAGAAATGTGGAATCACTGGGGATATAATCAAAGAGGTTTCAAAAGAAGAGTGGACTCAGAATCCAATGGGATAGGTGTAGAAATGAGTAGAGAAAATAGGAATAACTTAAAGACTGTTTTGGGGAACTAGGAGTACTTAAGGGATCAAAGAGAGATAGGATCTATAATTAGAGGGGAAAGCAGCTAGATGGGTTTTGTTCTTATTTGTTTTGGTTTAGAATTTGATAAACTGTAATTTCATGAGTATAGAACTTATAAGGAAAGTAGAACTGAAAAAAAACAGGAAAGGGGAAATAATAAAGATATTTAATAAATTTTCACCTATTCTTTTTGAATATTATTATATTCTATTTTAGAGCATGTAAAATCCACTATATTGACATTTTTAAAATGCTAAAAATTATAACACTTTTTACTATATTATTTGAGTGTCATGACCATCTTTGACATAGAACCCTGTAAAGTAAACTCTATGATATGAACCAAAGAACACTGATTCTTCAAGATGTCCTACAATTAAATTTCTGTGATCAAAGAGGTTTGAGATACATACATCCTGTAACAACTTGAAAGTTGCAACTAATATTAGTACTCAAAGATTCTGAAAATGCAGTAGCAACAAAACTTGGCATTTTTAACTAGCATTTCTCAAAATTACTAGATGGGCTATGTATTTTTCTCTTCCCTTGATGTTTTTTCCATGATCTTTGGAGAAATGACTCTAAATTTCAGAATGAGTTTGTCAAGGTTGTATGACCAGCTGAGATCCCTAATATTAATGAGACAAGTCTGAGTAACCTGTAGAGAAAATACATATTTTGTTTTATATGCAATATACTTCTAAAGGTACACAACCTTGAGAGATGAACCATTCCAGAACCACTGTAATTGCCAAGCTTTACCAAATATATCATAGGGAAATAAAATTTCTATGGGATGCCACTCAAACCCACAGGGTGCTATTAGAAAAACATGGGAGATTATTGGACGTCCACTAGAGTTTCTTTAGAACATGATGTCTGAGCTAATTAGCATATTTCTCCTATTGATTCATTCATTCAACAATATTTCATGGACATGTACTATGTGTAAGATTCTGTTCTTGATCTTAAGAACGTAGAAATGAGCAAAACAATTAAAACTTTGAGTTCACGGGCTCATAGTTGAATATAAAAGATACAAAATAAATGAAGAAATATTCACCATATAAATAGTAATAACTACTATGAAGAAAAAGTCAGGTAAAAGGTTAGAGAGTTATGGAAGAATGGAAGAAAGAGTGGTCAGAAAAGGCTTCCTGGAGGAGGCAGAATTGGGAAAAGACATGCATGAAATAGGAAGAGAACCACAGTAAAGACATGGAGGGAACAACTATTCAAATGCTCTGAAATGGGAACTTGGTGAGTTCAAAGAACAGTAAGTTGTCCAGTGCATCTTGAAGCTTAAGGAGGGCAGGATGGGAGTTAGAATCGTACAATCAAGTGAAGTGGCTAAAGCCTGGTGAGCCATAATGAGGGATAAAGGATTTGGGTTTTATCTTGAGTTTGGTGGGAAATTACCAGAGTTCTTAAAAGATAAGAGCAAAATAATCAGTAGGAGTTAACTTTCGATCAATTTGGCTGCTATGGGGAAAATAACTTTTCATATCTATTTTTATTAAATTTCTGAATATTATAGGAATACAAACAATTTGATTACATGAATTACTTTTGTATAGCTTGAGTCAAAATTTTAAGTATGTCCCTCTCCCAGATAGTGTACATCGTACACATCTGCATGAGTGTAAATTAAGTGTGAATTTACCCATTCCTTACACCCCCGTCCCACCTGCTTGATTTCTGTTCAATTTTACTACTGTATGTACACATGAGTGTTGAGCATTTAGTTCTAGTTTAATAGTGAGTAATTATGGTGTTCATTTTTCTATGATTGGGATACATCAGTTAGAAGTATGGTCTCCAGTTACATCCAGGTTGTTATAAAAGGTATTAGTTCACCATTTTTTATGGGTTAGTAATACTCCATGGCATACAGATACCACATGTTATAATCAACTCATGTAATAAAGGTTACTTGGGTAATTTCTGCATGTTTGTGATTGTGAATTGTGCTGCTATAAATATTTGAGTGCAAGTGTCTTTTTTATAAAATGTCTTTTATTTCCCCCTTTCGGTAAATACTCACTAGTGTGATTGCTGGATCAAAGGGTAGGTGTACTTTTAGTTCTTTGAGGTATCCCCATACTACTTTCCACAGAGGTAGAAATGTTTGCATTCCCACCAACAGTGTATAAGTGTTCCTTTCTCTCTCTGCATCTATGCCAACATTTGTTGTTTGGGGACTTTTGGATAAAAGCCATTCTCACTGGAGATAGATGATATCTTGTGGCTTTGATTTGCATTTCTCTGGTGATTAGTGATGTTGAACAATTTTTTGTTCAATGAAAAATGGCCAGTGTTTATTGGCCATTAGTCAATCTTCTTTTGAAAAGCTTCTGTTCACGTCTTTTGCTAAGTTTTTAATGGGGTTGTTTGATGTTTTCTTGCTTATTTGCTTGAGTTCTTCATAGATTCTGGTTATTAGCCCTTTACTAGAGATACAGCATGCAAATATTTTCTCCTACACTGTCTGTTGTCTAATCACTCTATTGATTGTTTCCTTGACTGTGCAGAAACTTTTTAATTTGATCAGGTCCAATTTATTTATTTCTGTTATCACTGTGACTGCCTTTGGGGTCTGTTTCTTAAATTATTTGCCTAGGCTGATATCTATAAGAGTTTTTCCAACATCTTCTAGCATTATTACTTTTTCAGGCCTTAGGAGTAAGTTATTCATTGTGAATTAATTTTTATTAGTGGTGAGAGGTGTGGATCCTGTTTCCGTCTTCTACATGTGGCTGTCCAACTTCCCCAGCACCATTTTTAATAGGGATTATTTTTCTCAGTGTATGTTTTTATCTGCTTTGTGAAAGATCAGATGGTAATATGGAAATGGTTTTATATGGGTTCTCTCTTCTAATCCATCAGTCTATCTCTTTCTTCTTGTGCCAATACTAAGCTGTTTTGGTCACTATAGCCTTGTAGAATAGCTTGAAGTCTAATAAAGTGATGCCTCGCAATTTTTTCCTTTTGCTTAATGTTGCTTTGACTATTTGGGGTCTTTTCTGGTTCCATTTGAAATGTAGAACTATTTTTTTCTAGGTCTGTAAAAAATGATGTTGGTATTTTAAGGGGCATTGCATTGAATTCGTAAGTCTTTTTGGGTAGTATAGACATTTTAAAATGTTGATTCTGCCAATCCATGAGCATGGTGTATTTTTCCATTTATTTACATCCTCTGACATTTCCTTCCTCAGTTTTTTGTAGTTCTCCCTATAGAGGTCTTTGTCCCCTTGGTTAAATAATACTTCTTAAATTTTGTGTCATATTCTTTAAAAATTAAAATTTTATTGGTAGGCCTTTAAAAAGATGAATTTTAATTCTGTCAATTACATCAGCCCTCAAAAGGACATTAGGAATTGCAACGCACTATAGTCAATGAAGTGTTATTTTGGTTTACAAAAACAATAAAATATTATTTGTGGTTAAACAAAATAACAACTGCATATTGCCAGAAATTGTTAACTCAAGCTAAGCAGTTGAGTAACTGGAAGCTTTAAAAAAGTACCATTGCAGATTCGGGACCATTTTGCTTGGTTTGGGGTTCTGCTGTCAGTATTTTTTAAGGGTATCTTCTATGCTTATTATGTGCAAACTGAATTGAAAATCATCACCATGGACTCTATCCATGCATGCAATAATTTAAACATAAGACATGAATAGAAACTTTTCAAAAGAAGATAGACTAATAAACATGTGAAAAATTGCTCAACATCTCTAATCATCAGGGAATTGCAAATCAAAACCATAATAAGATATCATTTAACTCCAGTGAGAATGGCTTTTATCAAAAAGTCTCAAAACAACAAATGTTGGTGTGGATATGGAGAGATAGGAACATTTATACACTGCTAGTAGAAGTGCAAACTGGTATAACCTTTATAGAAAGTAGTATGGAGGTACCTCAAAAACTAAAAGTAGAACTACCATTTGATCTAGCAATCCCACTACTGGGTATTTACCAAAAGGAAAAAAAAGATACTCTATTAAAAATGTTTTCAAATGTTTATAGCAGCACAATTCACAGATGTGCACAAATGCATTCAAATGTTTATAGCAGCACAATTCACAGATGTGGAAACAACCCAAGTACCCATCAATACATAAGTGGATTAATAAAATGTGGTATATGTGTACCATGGAGTATTCCTCAGCCATTAAAAAAATGGTGAACTAATACCTCTTGTATTATCCTGGATGGAGCTAGAGATCATTCTTCTAAGTGAAGCATCACAAGAATGGAAAAATTAATGCCACATGTACTCACCATTAAATTGGAACTAATCTATCAACACTTATGTGCACATATGGGAAGTAAGGTGGATGTCAAGCAGGTGGGAGAGTGGAAAAGGGGATGGATAAATTCATACCTATTGTGTACAGTGCACACTATCTGGGGTATGGACACAGATAACTTTGACTCAAATGGTACAAAAGCAATTTATGCAACCAAAATGTTTGCACCCCTGTCATATTCTGAAATTTAAAAAAATTAAAAATTAAGAAGAAATAAAAATAAAAATAAGTGGTCTGGTGAGGAAAAAACCAAGCTGATAGGATGACTTGCCTGTGGGCAAGGTCCTAGGATTCAAGAGGTAATAAGGAAGATTTTGTAACATTTAAAGTGAAACTACATTCATGACACCTATGCAAATAAAGTATATTTAAATTAAAAATGGAATGTTTTAAAAGAAATAAAAGAGTTACTTTGGTTTATAAAGATGCTGACAAGGCAAATAATATATTTTCCCTTCAGGGATAAAACTGTGTAGCAGCTGCTTCACTGCACCATTTGTTCTAAATGGCACTTTAATTGTGGAAAGAGCCAAATAGGATGCTGCCAGCAAAGTGACCCATCATATTTTACTGGATTTGCAGTTTTCTCTCACATCCTTCTAATACAGAAGAAGGATTTTAAAATTTTATTCCTGTGTTGATGCAAGAAAATGAGGTCAAGCATTGATTTCGGCCATTTAACAATTGGCCCAGTGATCATTGGATCAGTTTGTTTTTAACACAAAAAACTGATTGTAAAAAAATATGGAATAAGATTTTTTTAGCCTTAACAGAGTCTGTCTTTAACAATTAGAGATGTACCTTTACTTTTTCTTACAAACAGCATATTTTTGGTAAAATAGTAAAATAAGCCTGTAGTCAATTTAAAATGATAATAACATTAAATTCAATTGTATCAGAGAAGCAGGTTCTTATTAGATATAATTCACTAGTAGCAGCTTGACATTGCACAAAATGTGCTTGGGTTTGATTCCTTTTCTGATGCTTATTGTATTTACTGGTCCCACAAATTAACCTTTGTGAGTTTTAGATCTCTTGCATATAAAATGGAGAAAATATAGTGTCTATTTCACTGTGTTTGTGAGGATTATGTGAGATATTGTATGTGCTATCTTGAAAACTGTTGTAATAGTAGTAACATGCACTAGAAGAATTATGAGCTAGAAGGAATATTAGTTTTAGAGGCTGCCAAACACATTGAGCCTAGACTTCGATAAATTTGCCTGGACTATTATCATAGTCAATTTAATTACTCTGAAACTCAAATTTTTAATCTTAAAAAAAAAGTTTTGTTATAAAAATAGTTTTGAGTATTAAATAAATTGTGGACTATAGTATTTATTCATTAAACTTCTCTCCTTACAACTTTCAAATATCATCCCAATAGCAGGGATAACACAATACTTCCTTGCTTTGCTTTGCTTTACTTTTCTTAATGAATTCTTATCTCCAGAGATAAGAATTGACTTGCTCCAGAGGCATGCCATCCACAGCACCTACAGGGTATTCAAAAAATTTGTGTGGATCTGAATATTTACCATTGCTTATTTATATGATTACAAAGAGGTACCTGATGCCAAAAAATATATATATATTAATTTTTTTAAAAAAATACAATTTTATAATACTGAATATATTTCTTCCTTTTACTCCAATTTTTACTTGGCATTTTCTTTTTCTTTAAAAATACAAAGCTATGATCAAAAGATGACAAAAAGTAAGATTAGATTATATTCACTACTCTTTTACCCTAGCATTTTGACTCTCTACAAACTCAATAAACATACTCCAAGGTATTGTTGTCCTTTTTGATATATTAAGAAGTCAGTGATATGCCAAAATATAATAATTTCTCTATTTAATATTTTATAGTTTTTGTAAAGGAGAATTGGACATCAGCCAGCCATTCATTGTAAGAAACACTAGTTCTACTGACTTTAATATATTTTGAAAAGATGTTCAGTGGAATTATTACCTAAAGGAATAAGATAAAAATCATCAAATTAAAGTGCTCTATTGAAAAACAGCATACATGATTCCAAATAACAGGCTTTTATCCTTTTCACCAAAACATTGCTCTAGGAAGACCAAGAACAACTTTATGCAATGGCAAATACCCTGGAAGACGGTGGCATGACACCTCAACTGGCTGAGGTAATAAAACGACTGTGGAAAGATCCAGGAATTCAGGCCTGTTTTGAAAGGGCATCTGAATATCAGCTCAACGATTCAGCTGCTTAGTAAGTGAATTCCTTTTGACAGGAATTACAGTTGAAACATTTAAAATTGAGAATTATGATTCTGCATACTGTGCATTTGTGAATACAAATGAGGAAAGTAAACAGGCTAACATTTTATTATAGTAAAATAAAAAGCAATGTAAGAGAAATGAAAAAGAATAGGATGACAAAAATGACTCATAAAAAATATATAATTAGGGGAGCATTTTAAATAACTAATTTTGAAACTCTTTGAGAAGATACATATGTTGCAAATATGTTCCCTTGATGAAAAAGAATTAACCACTATGCATAGCACTCAACATTAACAGACTGGTGACATGCACACTGAAGTTTTTGACTACTCATTTCACCTATATTCATGCTACTGAAATCATCTCCTAGAATAATTTTATTAATGACACATGCCTTGGCTCATTGGACTGATTAACATGATACAAATTCTAGAAGAAAGTAATGTATTAATTTCCAAAACATTTTTTATAGTATGCGACTCTTTTGGAATCTCAAGAAAGATTATATAAGTTTCACTGCTAATATCATCCAGTTAACATTAATTAACTATAAGGAAATTTGGAGATTGTGACACTATAATTTCATTACCAAAGTGATTTAAAATTTCCTTTTAGCAAGTGGTTCTTAACCTATTCCACCATTATAAGGCTGCAAAAATGTGTACATATGTATGTAAATACAATCTACTTATTTTATATTTCTGTCCATGTATATGAATGTGCATAAATTCAGGGGGAACAAAACCAGTCTTCTGTGATCACTCATTCATCTTTACATTAGACCCCCAAACCCAGTGGGCACATTGCCTTTGGAGGAAAGAGTTACTCTTATCTCTCTGACAAATGGGTGTCATTTTGTGATTACATAAACTTGAATAACTGCTAGAAGTTTCTCAGTGTCTACCACATTTTAATAGTAAAAGGAATCTCTGTAGTGTAGTAAAAGATTACTTTTTTACAATAATCATTGATAAAGGCAATCACAATGAGTAAGATGCTAAATGATGGAATATTCCCACAAAACATGCTTAGTAAAGTTCTAGAGAGATAGATAAGAGTGAGCTGTCATTAAAATATTTACTCTTGGATACATGATATTGATTAAACATTATTTTTCCCTTAGGATGCTGAAAGTAATTTATTTGCAATTATATTACCATTGTGTTTACCAAGTTATTTGCTCTTTGATAGCAGAAAGTTATTTACAAATCATGTAATTAAAATGGGCAAACAAAATAATATTTTATTGTACTCTCTAATCTTTAAATTTAGCTTTTTCCTTTGTTTAAATAATTAAAATACATTTTACACTGGGACTATTTACCCTACTATAGATTCGTATTAAATTTTTTTTATCTGTTCTTTAAGTTAAATACGATTAAGCAGCATCAATATGCATTCATTTTGTGAAGTTGCCCAAATTGGAATAGTTGACTACCCAGATTAATTTGCAGGGGCAGTAGAATAACAATAGGAAAGCTGATTTCTAACCCCCTGTGTCTCAGAAATGTTTCATACACACAAAAACCAAAAAGTAAAATGTTAATTTTTTTTCTACCTTTAGGTTTCCTTAATAGGAAAGTTAAGTAAAGCTTGCAACAAAAGATTGTTGAATGGACATTACTTTCTTCCAGAAATTAAGAGCAGATTTTTTTCAAATACTTAATTACACTGTAAAACTAAATATAAAATCAGATTAATCAGATTGATATTACATTTCAGGTCTATTTCATATTCATTATATAGAGTTAGGTCTCAAACATTCCTCTTTGTCCTTTTCTTTGTTTTTTGGTGAAAATAAGAATCTTTTCTCAAATCTTGAGCTCCTTCAAGTTTAGGCTAACAAAAAGGTGAATCTGAACAGAGCAAGGGGAAGGAATGCTGTAGTTGGCAATGTAACAATCCCATCTGTTCTAGCAAACTGAAAGAAAAGGGGCATGACAGTGGCAAGCAGGGGAGAGATTGGTTACAACTGCATGGTTTATGACTGTGGCCAGCTAGTGTGCTATTTAAATTCCATGTGCTTTAAGAATTAACATAGAGTTTACCAGGAAAAATACAATTTTCACATGAATTGGAAAAAAATTCAGTATTTGCAAGTGGTTTAAACCATATGTAGTAAGGGCCTCTGTTTGGTCTAAGCTTTAGACTGCAGGTTTGAACATCCAAATCCTACATTTGTTTATTAAAACAAGCATTTTAAATGCAAATGTGTCAGTCTGCTAACGCCTCTGCTTTGCTTGAAATGATTTATACATGCAAATAAAAGTGAATTAAAATGTGTCTTTACCAACATTTTCATTTAGCTACCATTAAAATGAATTTAATCTCTATTTTGGTAAATATGTTTATTTTTTTTTTATTTATTTACTCCTGTGTGAACCCACTGACCAACAGTGTACCTAACACTTAGTCAACATAAAATTCACAAAGGGATTTACTTCCCAAAATAGAAAATAAACTAGCAAAATCTTCGAATACTCTCTTTAATACCTTTATATTTTGACTTATCACTCTTTTTTAAAGAAAACTAAATCTTTATTAGGATAAAACAATGTTGATAAATGTTCACATTATACATATGTATGTGTATTTCTGACATGTGATTTTCTGTTTGTCCTTGACCAAGATCCTTTTAGGATATTTGCCCATTCTTATTTTGTTTCAGCTTAAAAGTAAAAAGATCTTCCATGAATTAATTACCTACATTGCTACTGAATTTATTTTCTAATCATAAAATAATTTGCTTTCTAAGGCATTGTGCTAGCCTTACATATAATAGCTCCTCAACTTAATCCCTGAATGAATTCAATTTTTGAACACTAACATTCAGATGGAGTCTACCTCTCAATTTCTCAAACCAAGTACTTCAATCTTTATCTTTCTATTTAAGCCATACACATACACACATACACTTGTTTGTATAAATAAATTAGCTTCAATGTAATGCTGAAATTTGTCATGAAAACATTACCAGACTACTAATATTTATGTTCAAAATTTTCACAGAAATAGCTACTAAAGATTTAGAATCAAAAGTCTAGAACAGTGATTTACAAAATGTTTTTCAAGCAATAAAATACTTTGCTTTAGCCTAAAGACAGCATCTGGTTTCAAGGATGAAGAAGCGAAAAGCAGTTTTTTTCCTCTAATCTACCAGATTCTTAGAAGGTACACAGCTTAATTAGATTTATCCCTGCTCACCCCCACCCCTAGATCCTGTGAGGAGACAGAAGACAGTATTCAGCCTGACAACAGTAGGATTTTTAATAAGGTTTCCTGGAAGGGTTAAGGGCACAACTATGCACTGATGGACGAGGAGGTGGGAGAGGGTACAGTGGGTAAGTTCAGCCTCCTGTCCTGAGAGTGTGGACTCAGGGGTGGGTCTGCAGTTTCCTGAGTTAGCTCCAGCATAGACCAGCAAGACAGACAAAAGGTGCTTCTTTCATTGACATGACTGGATAATATCAAGGCATGTAATGGAAATGGCTGAGTCCTTACTAGGCAATCCATGCAAAAATAACAACCTTCAAATCATGACATTAAAACCACTGTGTTAAAATCCAAAGTGCCTAACTTCAAACTACAGTTTTGAGCATAGTCTGGTGACTATCATTACAAGACAGCTTTTTTCTTTTTATAATGGTCTAGGCCCTATAAAGAGAATTGTTCTTCCGTACTCCTACCCATGTACCAGCAGATTTATCACATAAACCTCATCAAACACAGGCTAAGATAGCACTGATTACCTGCCTTTAGAAGAGGCCCCTAGGGGTCTGCAGCTCTGCAACCTCCCAGGTACCAAACCCTTATTACAGATGAGCAGAGTTTGTAAAGCACCTGTCTGGAGTTTATTATTTTTAATGGACCCTAAACTGAAAACTCACTTGTACTGAACCTTGGGATCTTCAAATGCAAAGTTAAAAAATTTGCTATTTCGTTTTGTTTTTATTAGCTACCTTAATGATTTAGATAGAATAACGGCACCGGGATACGTGCCAAATGAGCAAGACGTTCTACATTCTCGAGTGAAAACAACTGGAATCATTGAAACTCAATTCTCCTTTAAAGACTTGCACTTCAGGTACGGTCAAAGGTCTCTTCTAACTATGAAGAGAAGTATGCCCTGGGTTGGATATTTTTTCATGGAGACAATCGCTAACCATAGGCAGGTGCAGTGATCCTGGGGCATGCTCACCAGGCCTGGTCTTCTTAGTCCTACTGTCCTTCATTCCCTTCCTAAGGCCTTTCCCCAACCCCTCCCTCCTGAGTCTCATCCCTCCTTCCAGGCTGAAGTGCCTCTGTCTTGAGCAGGTGGTGGCTTTTTTTTCACTTTCCTCACACTTAAAAGTGACATTGTACTTTGAGGGGAAAAAAAGAAAATACATTTAAATAACATCTGAGCCACAGGTGCCAGGAATTCTATTTCCTTTGCCTTCCTACTCTCCCATTTGCTTGAAATATTCATGTTACATCTGTTCTCTTAATTTTAAAAAATGCAAATAATTAAGAAGAGTATTATTTGAATGTGATGCTATTTACTGGAACAACAAGGCATATTTTATAAGCATGTTTTGAGTATGAAAATGAATCATTATTTTCATTGCTGTTCCTTTCATTGCTGTTCCTTTCATTGCAGTACCTTCCCAGAAATTATACTGCAAAATCACTCATTTACTATACCAAGAAATGGAAATTCATGCTAAAATGTTAGAAAATATATTTTGCTACTTAAGCACCTAATGAAATATTAAACATTAATACCAGTTTCTAGCTATCTTATGTAATAATGAAAAAAAATCTATTAAAATATAATAAGATTATTCACGCATCCAATAATGGGAACATTTTTAAAGAGGAGAAAAACTGGAGAAAGGTGACATGAATTATACGTATCCATTTGTGAAAAAAAAGGGAACAATAGTCAATATCATAAAATTTGTTTTAGTAGGAGAAAAGCTTTAAATTTTTTTAAGTATAGGTTATATACAATATGTAATTAGAATAGCTATTATATAGATAAGATATTTTCAATTAATAGGAAAGAAATCTCTTCAAAATTTATGCCTAAATTTCAGGCTCACAAATAGTTAATTTTCTGAAAAGGGAGCCAAAGATTAAATTAGGGTAAAGGGACCGCACACATTGGAATCAACATCCTCTCTTGGCAAATGTAAGAAAAGTTTGTCGTCAGTGCTGGCTTCACTGTTGTATAGTTCCTCTTTGGCAACAACTTTCTTCAGACTGCTGGTATTTGACGCAGTTTCTTGAGTGCTCCTTTAGGAGCCTGAGTCCAGTTGCTTCTCCCTTCTGTCTCTCCTACCCCAGTGAAAACATTTTTGACACAGTCCCTTTCCTGTTTCACTCTCCTTTCTTTTCCCTGATGTCTCACTGAAACACAGACTAGAACTGAGTGTGGCCTTGAGGCTGCTCAGACTGAAGTTTCAATTCCAGATTCTTCCATAATCAGCAGCAGGAGTTAAGAAACACAGATACCTTTTCTTTACTTGTCCAATATGTTTGTAGTAAAGATTACATGAAATGAAGTCCTAGCAGAGAGCCATAGTTTGATATAGCTTACCTTTCATAAGCCAAAGGAATTTTCTGAGTTTTAGATTGTCGCAATCCTAAACCAGTTTTGTCAATTAATTTCATCTATCGACCACCTGAAAGCTTATAGCCCTGGTCACTTGCTACAATACCAATCGGTATTGTCTCAGAAAGGGTCACTCTCATAAATTATCATGTTTATCTGTACTCTAACATTCCAAGCCTCAGGGCCTTTGCACTTGCTAATGCCTTGGCCTAAAGTACTCTGCCCCTGGATCTCTGCAAGGAACATCTCCATCTTATCATTAAGTTCCCAAATCAAATTCTATCTTCTCATGGAGCCTTGACCATGCTATCTGTTTACCATCCCTGCATATCTGGCTGCAACTATTATTCCCAGCAGCCTACTGGTAAACATTCAACAACAGGCTCTCCAGGGCAGGGAGGAGAGTCAGGGTGGAGGGCTGATTTGTAGCTCTTGATGATTTCCCTGGTGTAAATACCCCCACCATGACTGATTTCACCCTACTAAGGTGATGTCATGTAATGCAGAGTTGGGGAGAAATGCAAATAAACAGCTTTCACTAGCCATGCTAGTGTGAGCCCGCACTACTGTCCTCTTTTAAAATTACCATTGTACGAGATCACCTTGTTTCTTTATTAGTTTGCTCTTTTTGTTTCTGTTTCTGTTTCATACTCCCTGAGCTCCAGGAGGCCAGGGAACACACCTGTTTATAGCTACCTGATATGCTTATCACCATGGCTAGAACAAAGCAAGAATGTGGTCAATTTTTGCTGACTGAGTCAACACTGTATGCCAAGCACCCTATATATGCAGTCTTTAGTCTTTACAGCTTCACAGGAACATGATGAGCTAGGTATTGCTATCAGTATGTAGGATAGCAAGAAATGGAGGCTAGAATGAGATCAACTATTGTCCCAAGGTCTTACACAGAAGTGCTATAAATGCACATCGTTCTGTCTTCAAAGACCACACTCCTTACACTATACGTCACTTATGGGTAATTAGATAAATTGGGGTGGAAACCATTCTATTGTAAAGTTCTTTTTCCAATGTTGTTGGTCATTTATAATTTCAGAGAGAAGCGAGGAGGGAGGATAAAATGCCAGTCCTCTGGGGAAATATCTTTTGAGTTGGCAAGGTCCTGTGGTACTTCACAAGCCAATGCTTCTAAAACCAGGGTACAAGGCAATTGTCATTGAACACACAAAACCTCAAAAAGTCATGGAATACCTATTTCATTCAGTACCAAGTAATATAAGTAATTAAAAATTTTTAAAACAAATATTTTGTGAGAATATAGCTTTAAGTTAGTTTTTTAAAAAAAATGAAATATTACTTTAAAGACATGCTTTCCTTAGCACTCTTCAAAGTAGGCCTCTAGATGCCCATTGGTACATGATCATTTTCTTCAGTCCTTTTGTCGTTCTGTGGTTAATTTTGTGAAGCACTGTCATAAGTCATATAGGAAGGTGATCTGTTCTACTTTCACCTACTGCTGGCCCTTATGCAGGAATGAAGAGGGTCTTGCTAACTCTCTATTACAGTGTCAATGCTAAAACATAAAGCATCAATTGGATTGTAAAGGCCAGTTAGGAATTGTTTTGACATAACATTCCCTTGACTATACAACTACCACCTCTTTGCTATCCACTAAAACAGATTTTGAGCTATTTTGTTTTCTTAAGAGCTTTTGTTTTCCCTCTGACTCAAGAGGATGTGTTATTATATTAACAGTGTTTTCTATGAGAAAGAAGATGAAAGTTACAGTAACTCCTTACTCAGATGTGAAGAATTTCTCTAAAAAAAATATTTATTTAAACAATAAAATTTTAACAATATTTAAATTTGCTACAAAAATATTTTTAAATGATACTTTTTTCTTAAGGAGCTATTTAAAATCATTTAAATACATTTTAAGTTTAGTCACAGCAATTGAGATATATTAATCCTTTAATAAATTCTCACAGTTAAATTACTTTATTTCAGGTGCTAAATAGGATTGTCCAAAAGTTTTCAGGCTTTTGTAGTGTAAAATTCTACAGCATTTCAAAATATGAAGTATAAAAATAATGCACCTTCCAACTTCATTTCAGCAAGTGCCCAGGTATTAAAATATATTACATTAGCATTGATTTGTATTCACATAGCATAAATCATCCTATTTAAAACTAAAGACTTAATTTACATATTAAATTAGAGAACTCTAGAATTTTAAATAGGAACACTAAAATGAAAAATTCTCTCTACCAATGCACTGTATCATCTTTGTGTATCATCTAATTTAATGGAAATTACCTGAGAGTTCTTATCAAATCAGACCTCCAACTGTCAAACTGGTAAGATAAATTATTTTTACAGACATTAAAGTACTATGTAAGTGGAAAATACAATGCAAATGTGAGCTCTTCTATTTTTACAGAATAATTCCTCAGAACAAGTAACTTAGATATAGATTTGCAAGGAATTATCAAACCATTATAGAGAAGAAATTTTCTCCCTAGTGTTTAAAAAACAGAATTGAGAGGACTTAAAACTTTATGGGAGCTAAAAAAAAATAAAATGGTGAGCAACTATTACAACACAGAGCTTCAGATTTTGTAAGATCAACATAACTGTTCTGATAAATGTTTGAGCAGATCTATTTTTCCTGAAACATGAAGTTGAATCATGTATACTGTGTTCATTTGTGTGGAGTATGAGTCTTCTAAGCTTAGGAGTTTGGTTGTCCACCCAGCAGCTGTATTTCAATTCAGCTTTGTTATTCTTTATTATATCTCATAGAGCAACAGCTCATATATATTTGTTTCAGGCATGTTCATGATTAGTATTACCAAAATAATAAGTTACATAATATGCTGCCTAATTGATTATAGTCACAGAATTTATTTTATTGACTTTATAAATTATATTTTTCACTAATAAGAAAATTATCTAGTGGGCATTTAAAGTTTCCAAATGTGCGTGCACACACACACATACACGAACACGTAGTAGGAAGTATATAATGGTATTAACACTTCTGAGAATTTGGAGGCCCTGACTCCCTTGTGGTTATAAGTCCTTTTCATTCTGATTTTAAATCATAAGCAATTAAGGGATTTAAAAAGACCACTGTGCATACCCTTTGTGTCCACAAGTATCTACCCTTCTCTATTTTCAGAACTGGACATAAGGGAAAGATTTGGTTAGACCATGTTGCTATGTCTATTTAGTAATAACATGGATCCTCTTGGTGACCCTCTCACATGTAGCCATCTTAAGAAGTTACACCAACTCTGAGAAAGCCAAACATCTTGAATAAATGCCATGCAACAGAATAGTTTAAACTCCTACTCATATTATACCTTATTTTTATGTCATCAAATATATAGAAAATATCAGAAACTGTGATTTTTCAAACATAATCAGGTGCTTATAGGATGAACAAAGACATCTAACAAATACATTAGCTGCAGTAGCATTATTGATTTTTAGCTATCCTAGATGATATAATCATTTCATAAGAATTATAAAGGGTAGATTATGTCATAATAATTTATTCTGATATGAAGTTTGAATAGCCCAACGTTTAATATAAATCTATAAAAGTTAAAGCTTTGCCAGCTGCTTAAAATACAACCATAAAACTCAACTGTTCACTCAACTGTTTAATACAAAGCCATAAAACTTTGGTGGCTTGCCCTATATTAATGCCACGGGTAATTTAACAAATAATCAATGTTTATCTGTCACTTAAAAGCCTGGCCTGTCAATTTTTAACTACATCATAAGTATCAGTCATTTAAAAACTTTTTTTTTAACTTTAAGAACCCTATCTTAAATATCAGACTTAATAAATAAATATGCATTACCATTCTTAATATATTAAATAAGACAGAAACCCAGAATAAAGACTGTAAGTTCCAGTCAACATCATTAAGGCTTCCATTACTTTAGTCAGAGAATTAAAGGTATCGAAACACACCCATTCCCCTTATTAATTGTCCTATATATTTTACTAATCCAAATTGCCTTGCAGCACATATACATGCTTTTCTCTAATTTTAATTTTGTTTTTCACAAAATGATCACAATGGACTTCTTTGTTTTTGTCTTTATATGTAAGGAAAATACTTCTTCAGTGAAAAATATAAATATTCACTTTGGGAATCTCCAAATTCTTTTAACAAGTTAAAATACTTTATACCTCTGTAAAATAAGACCTAAATTAAAATTTAGAGGAAAAGCTAAACTTGAAAAGAGATGTACGAAAAATAAATTACTACAATAATAGCAAAACAAAATGTAACTGTTCTTAGAGTTATAATCATGTCCAGGAGGAGAATAAATATAAAAGCAAAACTCTGGCCTTTGGTCTGATTTGCTAATGAGCATTTCATTTCCACAGTAGCAGATGGCATTAGAGAAATGTTCAATGCTCCCCAGACCTATGTCTCCTACACAATCTGCACAGAAAAGAAGGTCTTCTTTATCAAGTGAGTCATGAGAAGATTATAAGCATTCAATCCAAGATAGACTTTCAGAAGCCATTTTATCAATATGAATAAAATGCTAATGCCAAGATTGAGTAACCTTTGTCTTCTCTTCCTTGGGAGAAAGCAAAGCTTATTATAACATGTTTATTGGAAGCTGTGTCATATGCTGAAAGAACACTGGGCTAAGGGTCATATTACATCATTGCCGGTCCTTAGTAATTGTGAGTTTGGGAACAAACCACTTAGCCTCTCCAAGCCTCCGTTTCTCCACTGGTGAAATGAGTATAATACTATTTTCCCTTGTGGCAAAAGGAATTGTTATGAGGAGCAAATAAAACCATAGATTTGAATTTAATTTTGAAGGAGAACACACAGTTCTAAGATGACTTTCATACAAATATAAGGTATTGTTCCAACAACTATTGTTATTTATCACGGTTGTATACATTTGCCTGTAGAGGAGAATGGCTATCTCTTACACCTGGTGGTAAAATACTCTAGCAGGCCCCAAAGAAGCTCAATCATCAGAGAAAGTCAAGGCATAGCCAGTGAGTTTTCTAGGCTCGCTGTCACTCTGATTTTCATCTCAGAGATTCTTTGGATGTTTTAATTTGTGGGAAAGCCATTTGAAACCATTATGCTGTTAAATATGTAGGAAGTATATAAAGTTTCTTTTTTTTCCCTTTTGCTCCAGAGTTTATGTCTCCCATAGAGTCCATAAAATAGAATTCCTATATATTGATAATTCTTGTTATTGTTTTTATTACTAGGGACTCCCTGCCAAAACCAAAATCAAATAAAAAACCCTATTTACATGAGAGAAATAAGATTATTTTCCCTGAGGTAAAATATCTGGTCTCATTCAGGGAATCTGAGCAATACACAAAATCATCTTAAGGAGAGAAGGATTTTCTCAAACTTTTAAGATTTGAATATAATCTAATTGAAAATATAGATGTCATTAAAAGAAATTATTAAAAAGCATTAATCAGAATGAAGAAAAATGGCATGTTTGGGCATAAAAGCAGAGAAATTGAGACTAAAAATAAATGCTAACAAGGATAATTCAAGGCCTGCTTAGTAGAGAAAACTTAACCAAATTGTTATATAATTTGTTTCCTACAGTACTGCTATACCTACTGTGGAAATTGAACATTGGCCTGTCTTAGCACTAATATTCCATTCATCCGATTACCTTTCTCCTGGTTCCATGATTAGCTTTCCAGTAAGCAATAGAAAAGGGAATTTCCCCTAAGTGGGGGATTAGAGCAAAAGAGGAGGCTAGAATTATGGAGATTCTTACCTGTTAACATGTAGTAGGTAGGGCTAAGAGGGGTGGTTTAAGTTCGAAAAGCCTACGTTAAACCCAGTAATATATACTCCACCCTTAAATCACCAAAATCCACAAGTTAATGCATCTTTGTTTAATCACAGTTACCACATTTCTTTGTCAACAAATGACAATAACATATTTATGTATGATCAAATGGAGAATATGTATAACATCTGGAATGCAGAAGGTCATTATCTTCATTTTAAAAAATAGAACAAAACTCCCCCCCTTCTGGGGAGAGTTTAAAGTTTTTGCCCAGTGACCTGTCTGACAACAAATAGAACTACTGCCTGGCCTGGGGAAAAAAGGGATAGACTCCACAGTGGAAATGGTTCTGATCCACTAGTGAAGGTTTGAGAGCTAACTGTAGGCACTAGTACTAGCTGTGTCCCTCTGGTCTAAGTAAATAGATTTATACTTAACAAGTTAACAACTTTCACAGCATAACTATCATACCCACAGAACCTGTTGAACCTATCATGGTGCCTAGTACACAATAGCTTCGATAAATATTGGTTGAAGTAATAATTAGGCAAGTTGCTTAAGGACTTATCTAAAAAATAAGAATAATAATGATAACTATCTTACAAGTTCATGGTGAGGTTTAAATAAGTCAACTTGTGTAAGATGCTTATATTCCTGGCAGATAGTAAACTCTTATTAGGTGTGTTAAAATCAATCCACTACAATTTGTGAGATGGAAATTTAAGGAGGAAATAAAAGTCATGACATGAACTATTTCCATTTCTCCCACATTTCATAGTTTAGGTGACTTCAATAAAGGAATAGATAAAACTCTATTTTGCAAAGTCTGGCAAAAAAAATTAAGATGGCTTTTATGAATTACTAAAATATTTGACTAAAAATGTAAGCATTTGAGTATATATTTATCAATCTTGCTTTCATAAGAATATTGACTAGTTTTTTAATTAAATTTATTTGTTAATTTTCACATAATATAAAGTCAAAATTGTTTCCCTTTCATCCATTTATTTTGCAAGTCTAAAACTGCAGAGGGCTTGGTATTTTGCAGCATATATACTATTCTTTATTGACACTGAATTTAGATTTCCAGACTACTAATGACTGAATGCTCAACTACTATCTTCAATATTGTGAGCATCTTCTCTTGTAATCTACTATTAAATGGAGTGATTTTGCATTGTTACATATATATATACACACACACACACACACATACTCATGCACATACAGAGAGACAGATAAATATATACATATTTGAGAAATTTTAGTTCTATATATATTTTCTCTACTTGGTTCATATGGGAAATATCTTCAATAAGTAAATTTATTGAAGATAATCTGACATTTATTACTCTAAATATAGTTATTACTCTTGAAGTCTGTACAACTTGGATGCTTTTTAGTACTTAATACCTTAAGCTTAAACTATTATGATAGCATCATAATTTCTTTAATTGGCTCTAATTTCTTCCTCATTAAATCTATCCTGTGGACTCAGATCAAAGGGATCTACCACACCATAAAACAAACAAACAAAGACCCAAAAATGTTAATTTCCTACCTAAAAATGTTTCATAATCACCTATTATCTGCAATAAAAATCTAAATTTCTCATGTAACTTGAAAGACCCAGTAAACCCATAGCTGGCCAATCACCTGAGGCTTACTCCTGCCTTCTCAAATCCTTTGCTATTGCTGTTTCCTTGGTTGCCTTAAATCTTCCTGTGTGCTCACATTTTACTTTGTATATTTGAATATCTATTCCATAATATTATAATAACTTGTTTTTCTTTCAACCAGACAGAGAGTTCTTTGAAAATAATGACTGTATCTTTTCATCTTCACGTCAGTAGATACAGCACAGTGTCTAGCACATAGAATGCAAATGATAGCTGCTTGAATAAACAAATAAATGTAGGAACATCTAATAACAGATAAGAATCATAGTATCAGAACTATAGTAGCTTCTAGTCTTTGCCGTTTCTGTTTATTCAACAGAATATGTATAAGCTTTGATCAAAATCTTTTAAAGCTACTGATTTTTCACTAAATTTCTAAATTGCTTTAAACTTCCCAGTTTGTCAAAGTCAGTGTGTAAATTATTTTAATCTAGTCTGCACAAAGACAATAAAAAATTAATGTTCCTGTTCCTCCTCTGCCTCCTCTCTTTCTCTCTTTATTAATCTCTCTTTATCTCTTTTAAAAAAAAGAAAAAGCATTTTAAAAAGTTAATGTTCCTTTTTTCTTTAGTCCTTGAGCTGCAAGTTAGCCAAAAAGATTTATTTTATAATCAAAAATCAAAGGAATACCTTTTAATGATATTGAAGCATTCATTTATAACTCTAAATGTTAACCTCACAGCAAATTTGGGGGAATATTTCTAAGATTTTTTATTGATTTGATGTCTTTTTTAAAGAATGTTTGATGTAGGTGGACAGAGATCAGAGAGAAAGAAATGGATTCATTGCTTTGAAGGAGTCACATGCATTATATTTTGTGCCGCTCTCAGTGCCTATGATATGGTCTTAGTGGAAGATGAAGAAGTGGTAAGTCTAAAAGGCAAACAAGGCCAGGATAAATTACAAACCTTGTGCTTTTCAATAGTACTACCACATTACCCAATTCAATGAAGTCCTTCCCCAAATGCATGTTATTTCTAGATCTTTATGATGCCCAGCCCTCTCATTTTGCAAATAATAATCCTACACATTCTCATTTCTTATATCTAACAGAACAGAATGCATGAAAGCCTTCACCTATTCAACAGTATCTGTAATCACAAGTATTTTGCAACCACCTCCATTGTCCTGTTCCTCAATAAAAAAGATCTCTTTCAAGAAAAAGTAACCAAGGTGCATCTTAGCATCTGCTTTCCAGAATACACTGGTAAGGTTCTTTTCCATTAGTTCTGAAGTAATAAATTCTTGTATAGACATATATTTTCCTACCTGGATTTTGACATTTAATATTTATGAATATGAGGCTCATGAATTTTCTTGAGTCATGTGTATGATCCAAACTGAAAAGAATCTGACAAATAAAGAGGAACTTTCTCTATCCTGTTTACATTAAAGCAAAGCTCTAATAAATAAAGCAGAAGACGTGGACCAGGCTTGCTACTCTCTATAACACATCAAACAACATTGCAAATTGTATTATGTTCAACATCATAATAGGAATGCAAATTTATTCCAAACTGGCATTTTAATGTATTTCCTAATGAAATATAGTAATGGTATAAATTAGACCTCAGTGGCTCTTCAATGTCTGAATTGTTTCCCGAGGGACAGCATGAATGAATTTGAGAATAGTGACATCTTCTCTTTCTATGGTTTTCTTAAGTCCCGGAATTTTTTTGCTGATCCTGTTAGTCAGTTACTACAAATGTCAAGTTCCATACCAGTTGTTTTTTTTTTTTTTTTTGTAAATAGTAGGATACTTTGTTGTTAATGAAATTCTGTAAGATGGAAATATTTATTATTTAAACAAAAAACACAATCCAACATCACCAATTAGGTATATGGGGTAGCCCAGATGTTACGAACATAACATTCAGTCAAAAATATTTATGCTAGTTAACTTATAATTAGTGTTCATATTTTTCTTCTATAATCAAATATTTATATGTTCACACTTTTATCATGTGCTTAAACAAGCATGATTCAATATTGAATATTACAAATTGAATATGGACTCATAATTAAGGGCTATATATATTTTTTAAGTAATAGGGTTTCTTAGAGCAGTTTTATTATATATTTTTTATTTCATTTTAGCGTATTATGGGGGTACAAGTTTTAAGGTTACATATATTGCCCATGCCCTCCTCTCCCCTCGAGTAAGAGCTTCAAGCGTGTCTATCCCCAAACATTGCACATCTTACTCGTTTGGTTGTATATACCCCTCCCACCCTCCCGACACCCAATAAATGTTACTTCTATATGTCCACTTAGGTGTCGATCCGTTAGTTTGCAGAGAAATGAACTGTTTGAACAGAAAGTACAAAGATTTCCCAAGGTATTTCCCTTAGTTAAATATCGAGGAGTATGATTGCTTCCTCTCTGGTCCCTTCCCACAGTTCCCTATTATTAACGTCTTGCATTGGTGTGGTACATTTGTTACAATTGATGAACCAACACTGCTACACCATTAACTATTAATAAAGTCGATAGTGTACTTAGGGTTCACTCTCTCTGTTGTACAGGTCTATGTGTTTGGTCAAATACAAGTCATGTATCCACCATTGCAGTATGATACATAATAGTTTCACTGGCCCCCAAATCTCCTGTCTTCTACCTATTCATGCCTCCTCTGGCACCTCCAACTGTATTTTGAGCAGTAGCTACTAATTATTTTATTTTTATATAATTTTGCCTTTTCTAGAATGCCATACGGCTAAAATCATACAATATATAGCATTTCCTGACTGGCTTCTTTCACTTAGCAATAGGCATTTAGGTTTCCTCCATGTCTTCTTGTGGATTTATAGTTCATTTCTTTTTATTCTCACATAATATTCCATTCTATAAACAAATCACAGTTAGTTTATCCTTTCACTTGTTGAAGGATGTCTTGGTTATCTCCAATTTTTGGTAGTTATGAAAAAAACTGTTATAAACATCCAGGTCTTTGTGTGGACATAAATTTTTATGTAAATACCTAGGAGTATGACTGGGGAATTTTATGGTAAGACTAGCTTTAGCTTTTTAAGAAACCACCATCTGCCTTCCAAAATGACTGCACCACTTTACATTCCAGAAGCAATGAACTCCTTTGACTCCATATCCTTGCCAGCACTGGCACTGCCAGTGTTTTGTATTCTGGCCATATTAATGATTGTCATGGAATTTTGCTTCTAGTTACAATAAAGTGAGAAACAAAATCTTACCTCCTTTGAAAATCCTTATGTTACTGCTCCATCCTAAGTCAAGTCCCCTCAAAACATACTCTGTCACAAAGCCAATCAATGCATCATTTTTAGCTGTCCTCTATTTGTTAGCCTACTTATTTTATTTCTGCCTTTTCCCAAGTGATTCATTGTATGTTCTGCTACCAGACTAAACTTTCTCAAGCACAGCCTTCATCATATTACTGCTGTACTAAAATATAAGTCAATAGCTCTTACAACCTTCCCTATCTCATCTCAGCTTCTTTAGTTAGTAACCTGATTCATAATCTAGCTCATAACATATATTCTACCTGATTTCCTATGATTCCTTCATGAAAACCTTTCATTTTCATCTGACCATATTCTCTAAAGCTCAACTCATTTCCAACCTGACCTTCAAATCTAGAAGTACAGGCAATTTTCACTTTCACTTTTCTGTTATCACTCATACTTTTTCTATTCTCTCTTCTAGCTCTCTCTCAAGGTCCAACTCAAATACCACCTTCTTCTGCACCTATTTATCTATTCTATTCATTAAACACACACACACACACACACACACACACATATCCTCAAACACAGAGCATTTGAAATACATATATATATCAGGTTGGTATTTCTACTGTATCATGAGCTTTTTGATACAAAGATTACATTTTAGCCACCAGAATCCTGTATTGGGACAAGTGTAATTCCCAGAACCAAGTAGATGCTGCATACAGCCCTGATAATTAACCCTTGCCATTTTGATTTTGCAATATTTAGTATATCAGAGTAAAATTCTAAAATTTATTGACATTATTTATAGTTTTATTCTTTGTGATATGTGTTTAATGCTTACCTCTTCAAATTTTTTGCTTAACAAGGGCCAAATACATTTGAAGATGCAGGGAACTACATCAAGAACCAATTTCTAGACCTGAACTTAAAAAAAGAAGACAAGGAAATTTATGCCCACATGACCTGTGCTACTGATACTCAAAATGTCAAGTTCGTGTTTGATGCAGTTACAGATATAATAATCAAAGAGAATCTGAAAGACTGTGGGCTTTTCTAACCAATTGCTTTCTCTTCCACTCTTACTCATGGTTATTTTTCAAGATATAAAAGAAAAGGTGCTGTGTGACGTGTTTAGTTTGAATATATATGATATTATCTAGTAATGTAACTAGTATTATAAAGCAAAAAGTTTTCATGCAGAAATTTGAATGTATTTTCATCCGGATAGGAATCAGTTTCTTTGGGACATGGAGAACAGCGTGTCTTTGATGTCCTTGTATGTACAAACTGATATATTTTGGTAACTGTAACCGTACACATCAGTGACACTGAATTTTCTTGGAAATAAACTGCTATATGTGGCCTATATTTAATTGTAGAATAAAAAATATGAACTAATAATTCTATATCATTTCCATTGGCCAGAATATGAACTAATAATTCTATATCATTTCCATTGGCCAGAATTTGAGAAGCATTCATTTTTGCTGATAATATAACCATGCCTGTGCCACACAATTTGAAAATAGCACAGGCATTTTATTAGTCAATTATTTCCATATTTTTCAGCTGCAAATGAGATGTGTACTATACAATTTTCTTGTTAATGATAAATTACATATGCAAAATAAATATATACAATATTATCTGCTATATTATTTTCTTAAAAGTCATTAATTAATGCTGAATTTACCCTTAGAGTTGAAAATTTCAATAATTTATCATTTTGTTCCACCCTGGTTGAAGAGAAGGGAAAATGTATGGTCAAGTACACGGTGTAAGACTTTATAGGCTCAGTTGAGTGACAGCCTTCTGTAGAGCACTCATCCCCCACAGTTTATTCCAGAGTGGCATGGGACATTATCACAGCGGATGATCACATGGGCTTTGGGACAAAAATTATAGACTGCAAAAGAGAGAAATCATTTGATGTTTTAGCACTGGTATATTTTGTGTTTTGTGAATAAGAAGTAGGAACAAGCAGATAGAGTCTAGAAGGCAAAAGTAGAGCTTCTCTGTTAGCACTGTATTTATGCATTCTAACTATCATATTGTATTCTAATGGTCAAAGTTTTCTTTTTAAAAGCTAAGTTGGTGCTTTAAAAACTAAATCATGTTATTTATGAAGAAAAAAAGATGATTTTTTTCTTTTTTAAATGTGTCTACCATTTCTAAAATATACTCTTAAAACACATCTCCATATCATTTATCCTTCTATGCTATGGAAAGTGATATATAGTCAGTATATTAGGTCACCACATAAGATTTATAATGACTCTTAAAAGAGGTTTAATTAGGTTTTGATAAGCTAGATGAGATGCAGTGAACATACATTGATCAATTTGCCCATCTGCCCTTCAGGTGGATTTAGGTAGCTCTATCTCCAGTGTTACTACTTCATTGTTCTATAACAAGTGTCCATTCTAAACACATAAGAATGATTATAATTCAATAAGTAACCTTGACTTACATACTTATCATTTTTTTCAAGGACACAAAGAAGTTACCATAAATATAGTCAAAAAATAAGTTATATTTAAAAAATTTGAAATTCTTTTACAGAATGTAAATTATTTAGAAACCTAAGATACCAAGTACAAAAAAAGCCTGACTAATCATTTAGTTCAGGCATCCCATAAAGTTTGCTGACTGAGAACCAATAATTGATATGACAACAACCAAACATTCTGTTAGGAGACATCTGAAGCTAAGAGATTTTAAATTAAGATTACAAATACTATACTAGTTTCATCCATTGTTTTGTCCTTTTTTTACCAGCTATTCAATTGTTTTTCTCCATAAGTGTGAAAACTTTCCAAAAAGGAAAAAAAATACTATTTGAAATACTATTCTGACTTAACTTTAGGGTTGTTTTATTAAATGATGTAGGCAGAAAGGGTGGGGTCAGAAATGGTTCAATTTGCCTTTAAAAAGTATATAACTCATTTTAACCTGTGTAAAAAGTGACAGATATCAATATTTTTAATGAAATAATGTCCTCTGAGAATGTTTTAATGTTAAATGACCAAACTAAAAATGGAAATTAGTTTGTATTAAAAAAGAAAAACTGTTAAAGTCCTTCCAACGCTATGATTTAACTTAAAAGAAAACTTTTCTTCACAATCGGAAATATTGCTGTGATAAGCAATGAATTTTAATTGAGAGAGAATTTTTAGTACAGAAAAAAAAAATACATGTTTGTATTAATTCTTTAGTGATTGCGATCTTTTAAATTTAAAAGCTTTACCCTGGAGAAAAAAACTTGATGATTGCACTTAGAGTTAGCATAAGAAAGTTTATGCTATTTCTGATTGTACTTTTTAATTTTTAATATAAAAAGTTGGAGTAGAAGCACAGCATTTGGAGCTAATTAAATAAAGTAACAAACTGATAATACGGGAAGATTTGCTTTTAACCTGAAGAAACTCCCTCTGAGACCAACAATGTTGGTTAAAGTTGAAACACCTGTTTCAATTGGAAAGTCAGGCTCCCAACTGTACAGTCAATGCCTTTGAATCCCAAAGAAGCATCCCTTTGTCTTTGCCATTCAATCACGTAAGATGTTCACACAATCAACAAGCAAATGAATTCCACTCAAACACGTTCAGACATAATTATACTGACAATTTACTCTTCTGTTATTTGAAGTTTCTATTCCTGACTCAAAATGTTCCCCAATCCTGCTTGCCTTCGAGTTTTAACACTTCCACCTCACTCCTTTCTGAGGTTTGTCCCTAGGCACTACCTCAGAGGTAAGATGTGGGCCTACATCCAATGGGGTCATTGACGACCACTCCTCACAGAGCTTTCCCGGAAGCATGAACTGGTCAGCAGATTACATTTTACCTTCTGGGACTAGGGACTACAGAGTTAAATGGAAGAGTATTAACAGGTCAATACCTGTGTGTCAAAATATTATGAAAGTGGTCACCTCTACAAAGATGCTCTGTGGAAAAGGGGTTTTAACCACTTCGGTATGAATGTCGACTATAGTCGACAACCACAGATGAACGCGCACAGCCGAGCATCGACTTTAGCTGACAGCCATGGTATGACTTTTCTAATTTTTCATTTCTCAAAATAAAATCATGAACATTTAAAAATAACGTAATGAAAACATATATGTATATGTTACCTGTTCTGATTTACATTACAAGTAAAGCTGCCTGTAAAGTAAAACAAGTTTTCAGTGCTTTAAAGTTTTCCTCATCACACAAGAGCAAAACGGATTCGTCGTCAATGCACAGCACAAAACTAAAAGGCAAGGTTTCGCGGCCGGTGAGCGCCCTACCAAAGTGGTTAAATTCTGTGACATCTCTAATGTCTATTATAAATATCCAATATCCTATCAATTAACAACAGTGGTGAACAAATAATAGTCTTCATGTGTATCACATAAGTGGGAAAACAACTTTTTTCAGACTACGGGCCCGTGCTAATAACAAATTTTCTTACCAGATGCATCATCCTATTTAATCACAAAATATACTTTAAAACACTTGCAGAGAATTACTTAGGCTTAACCAAACACGATGTACATGAGGAAAAATAAATCTTTGTGTTGGTTTATGTGCTTTTATTAAGTTATACCTCTTCAGAATTAGAGGTAGACACATTGGTTAAAATGTATAATGTATGAATACTAAAAACAAAATATTGATAAGCATTATGGAAGAAATTAGAAATTTTCTCACTTAGACTAACCTTAAAAATAGGGGAGACAACCTTCTGCTTAGGATGAAGTATTCACTAGATAATATAATCAATCGAAGTCCTCTTTCCTTTAATGCCTTTTCTGACTTTCTTACAAACCACTCTATAACCACATGGGGGCACACTTACATTATGTGTTTTTCTACCCAAATGTTAAAAACGTAATACATTTGGATTACGAATAACTTTAATGAAACAGATAATAAAATTCTATTAAGAACTCTAGTTTTTTTTTTTTTGTTGTTTCTAGTTCAATAGTACATGATAATCTTCTGATAATCACAATATACAATATTTTAGTCAAATTTGTGATTAGCAAAACTGTTGAAACAACTCCAAATTTGTAGAATGTTACACAGATAGATATATAGTCTCTTTTCATGCTCTTGTTATTTATTTTGGGGGTGGGTCATTTTCAAGCTTCTGTTTAAATCTAAGTAACCATTAATTTTGTAAAGTGTGTCTTTCCATTATTCTGTTACTGTGTTTAAAATCTTGATTAGCTCAAAGTGAAAAGCAGAAGAAATATAATTTGATGCCTGACAACTACTGTGTTGTGTGAGTTGTAATCAATTGGCTGCTTATTAATGTGTATCCTTTCAGTAAATCAAAGTAAAATTCCATTCTGCTAACACATTAGCCATTCCATTATTCTGTTTATTACAACTTTTTCTCAACTACCACTCCACCAAATCAAGAGGAAAATGTTTGCTCTGTGACACTTTCCTTTACCACTACTGCTGCTGACAGCACATTTTTCATTAGTAATAGCACCACTTTTATTTTAAGCCACATTTGGTCACACTAGCTAAGTAATAAATAGAGTCAAATGAAAGAAAAAGGAAATAAAAAGACCCTAATTTACTTCATAGGAACAGTAATGGTCCTCTAATTATTACGCCTTTCAGATAAGGAATAATACATGAGACACACAAGGAAAGCCATTATTTTAAGTGAAAGACATTCCTATTTTCTAAAGTGGTCAGAATAGAACAAAACCAAGCTCATATATGTGATTGAAAATCATTTTTTTTCAATGTATATTGATGTGAGTTTTCTCTTCTGAAAAAAGAGAACAAAACTTGTGAAGCATCTCTCTGCATGGTTGGTTGTCTAAAAGTAATAATTTAGTTTTCCTTTTTAAAACTCCTAGAAGCTGAGATCATTCCTATGCTGAAATAAAGTTACAGGAGTACTAATACTCAGGGCACATGGCCCTGACTTTCACACTCTAAGTCCTTTGCACTTGTAGGTTGATCTGCAAGGACTGCCCTCTTCCATTCTTGTTGGCTCCTACTCATTCTTCAAATCTTAGGTCAGAGTTCACTTCTTAAGACAGGGTTCTCAAACCACAGAACAGAAGGTCACCTGTATGTATTTTTATAGGTGTTCATAATTTTACTCTTTATAACTTATTAAAGTATACAAAAATATTTTTGTATGTGATTGTTTGATTTATATTCATTTCTCCATTTTATTATACATTTCCTGAGGTTTTACATAATTGCTCTTGACACAAAGTAGAAACTTACTGAATATCTGTGAATTAATGAACCAATGAACCAATGATTGTTTACCAAGTTCTCCTGGAAAGCTACTTTTCCCTTGATTTCCAGAATGCCATAATGATTTCCTAGTTT